CTGAGTAACACGAGAGTAACATATAAATAACACAAATGTAACACGTAGATAACAGCCCGAGTTAATAAATATAATAATATTACCTATCCTATTGAATTTATCATATAAAATTTACCTCAAATAGTTTAAAAATTTATCGCAAAAATTTGATCGTCTGAATAACACGAGGAAATTTGGAGTAACACAGATTAATTGGTGGTAACACGGTGTAGTAACACGTCAGAATACGCATGGTAACACAGAGTAACGCCGATTAATCGGTCGATAACACGGGGAATATTCGCTGCGAGATTGCGCATTAAGAGGGCAGTAACTTAAGTTAATTTCGTGTTATCCTCGTGTTATTTTCGTGCTATTCACGTGTTATTCACATGTTATTCCTCATGTTATTCCCACGTGTTATCCTCGTGTTATTCTCGTGTTATCCTCGTGTTCTTTCCGTGTTATTGACGTGTTATTCTCATGTTATTTCTCATGTTATTCCCACGTTATTCCCGTGTTATTCTCGTGTTATCCTCGTGTTCTTCCCGTGTTATTGACGTGTTATTCTCATGTTATTCCCACGTTATTCCCATGTTATTCTCGTGTTATCCTCGTGTTATTCCCGTGTTATTGAAGTGTTATTCTCATGTTATTCCTCATGTTATTCCCCTGTTATTCCCCTGTTATTCCCGTGTTATTCCTGTGTTATTCTCGTATTATCTTCGTGTTATTCTCGTGTTATTCACGTGTTATTCTCATGTTATTTCCATGTTTTTCCGATGTTATTCCCATGATATTCTCATTTTATTCACGTGTTACTTCTATGTTATGCACGTGTTGCTTAAGGTGTTATTGAACGTGTTACTCCTGTCTTATCTACGTGTTACTCACGTGTTATAAAGCGTGCAACAGCTTGTTATTCAGCTTGTTATTGATTGTGTTATTCAACGTGTTACCCGCGTGTTATTAACGTGTTATCTACGTGTTATACATTGATATCTACGTTTGAACAAGTTTAAGACAGAAATATTTGAACAAAAACATGTTATAAACCACCAATTACTTTTTTCGCAAAAAGTTTACAGATGATACAGTATACTAACTTTTACAATATCAATCAATCTATATTCTCACTTATGGAATCCATCAAAAGTCCAGTATATGTTTCACTTAGTTGGGGTGCATAGTATTCCTGCAACAGATGAGTAATACCAAGTTCAATTTGAGTGAATTATTTTATATAAAAGGCAGTAAAATGATACTGAATTTTATCAACATGTCTGGGTAAGGCAATTTGTCAAACTTTGCTCGAATGCGTCCACAGCTCGACGGCTACTTGCTGCTTCATGTTCCATTCCTGGATGCAATGGGTCAAATTAGAAGTATGCATTA